TATATGATATCATATGGTATACAGTTTATACATTAATATATACAGTATATATTCTCTATATTTTATTAGATTTATTCAAAATTGTATTATATGAATACATCAGCAAAATATGGTTTAATATATATATATATATATAATATATATATTTGTAGAAATATCTTGATTAACAAAATTTTATAAATATATAATTTTATTGTATTAGATATGTTATTATTGATTATGTAAAATATTTCAGTTAAACTCATTAAATCAAAACAAATGAATAAAACTATTTTTGTTATAAGCTTTTAATAATGAAAAATTTTAATAGTTATTTTTATATTTAATAATAAAATCTAATCTATTTATAAATATGCATTAATGATAAATTTTCAGTAAGTTATTAATTAATAATTATTATTGTTATTTTAATAAAATATAAAAAAGTATAAATAAATAATAAATGTATTAACTAAAGTATTATTCAAAAAAATAAATTTAAATATTTATATAAATTTTTTATACATAGTAAATAATTAATAAATCAACTATTTTATACACATTTAATACAGTTTTATAAATAACATTGAAATAATTTTCATTGTTATAAAATATTTAAAATAATTATATTTTTTTAAAAATGCTATATTCATAAATATTACTATTAGTTAATTTATTTTTGTTATATTTTTATTTAATTAATTAATACAATAATAATAATTAATTATATATTAATTATTAAGTATCTAAATATTTATCTAAATTAGAAACTGACGTTTTTTTGACTATGGTTTTCAATTTATTATTACGTTTATGTTTATTACATTTAATAATTTATATATCAATAGTTGTTAATTTTGTACTCTTACTCTCAATGTGTTTATGTTTATTTTTAATATATATATATATATTAGTTTACTGAATGTAATATTTATAAATGTACTGTACTTAAGATATTATATAATGTGGGCATAGGTGACAACAATCTGGTACTTAACACAATAGTTAGTGATATATAGAAAGTAATTGAAAGAAAACGACTAATAAAAACCTAACGGTGCTCAGACACACACACAAACAAACAATATTATATGATATACGGTATATTATACCCCACACGTAGTGAAAATCTAGAAATTATTATTAATTTATAGAGAAAAATATAGTGAAAAAGTTATTGAAATACATAAATATATTAGAAAAATAATGGTATAATAAAAATAATAATCTTAACTAATAATATACTGCAAACAATTATATACAATATATATTATATGATATTTATTAAATATATTTATTAATGTAATATTATATTATATATGGTATTATTAATAATAGTAATTTTATGACTTACCTCATATGGTTTGATTGGATGTCCCGCTAAGATCCAAGATTACGATAGTTTAAATAATTACTTTACTTATTATTTATCCACTTATACACTACAGTACATTATATACAGTATATAACATTATATTTATACAGTTTAAACCTATACTGTATATACATTTTGTAATTATTTTATTTAATTTCACTTTTGTGTAATAATAATAATATTATTATTATTACTAATTATTTATTAAAATATTAGTCTAATTTATAGCTTATGAATGTAATACAAAATATTGTTACTAATATTTTAATTATAAAAATTTACTATACATTATATTATAAAAATTTAATTTATTTAAAAAATAAAATTTTTAGTTATAATTGAATTGAAAAATATTATTATCATATTTTATTCAATTATGTAAATATATTTATAAAAATATGAAATATTTAGATAATCTAATTAAATAAATTTTACGTGGCTTAATTAATATAACTATTGTGTTATATAATATTAATAGACTGTATTACTGTGTGTTATTAAAGAAAAATAGGTTTATTTAATTATATTTTACTGTAATTTATATTACCCGGATATAATATCATAACTATATTTATAATATATATATATACTGATTGTACTTGATTAATAATATTATATTTATTATATTTTATTTATTTAGTTTTTTTGGACTAAAAATTTATTTCTTGGGAACTATCAGTTGATAGACTCGAATATAAATTGAATTATTATTATTTATATGTAAAATGTTTAAACCATAAAATTTAATGGACTATCAAAACCAGAAAATAATTTTTATAATAATTTTTCATATTTTATATTTTAATAAATATATATATATTTATATATATAGGAAAATAATAAAATACCAGTTTAATTTAATAATAAAATTATGTATTTTTATTTATTTTTTATTTTTTATTATTTCAATAGGTACAATACATTTTATTTATTTAGTTATATAACATTAACTGTGTATGTAAATGTTTTTTTTTTATTTAAAATTATGATTTTTCTTTTATTAATAATTATAACAATAACAATAATAACTTTTCATAAATTTTATGATAATAATAATAATAATTATAATTATAATAATGATAATAAATAAAGCTAAAACATTACGATGATAAATAAACATAATTTAATGTCAATAAAATTATCATTTTAACAATAATTAATATTTTCATTAAAATGATTTTTATCTTTGTTTTTTTCATATTTTTAATTTTATTAATGTTTGTATAAATATATTTATTTATTTTCAAAAAAATTTAAATCATCAATAGTAACAATTTATTTTTATATATTAATATATATATATATATTTATAATTTTATATATAGAGCTATCAATTGAGAATTTTTTTGTATTATTTGTTTATTTATAAGTGAAGTCAACACTTAAACAGTTAAAATCAATTTATTTACTATACATATACTTATCAATATATATTGTATATTCATTTATTTATAATAATCATTATGTATTTTATTTATTTATTTATTTATTGGTAAATTGTATAACAATTTTACTCTAGTCTTGTTGTTTATTTGTGACACAAGATATTGATAATAATAATAATAATAATCAATAGTATAAATTAAATTAATTGTAACATTTTTTTTTAAAAATATCAATGGATATGTTTGTAAAAAATTGTCAAAATACTGTTACATTTAATATATTTAAATTATTATCATTTTTAAATATATAATTTTTTTAAAAAAATTTAATTTATAATTTGCTTAATTCACAAACAAATTATATACTAATAATTTATTTTTTTGGTATTACTTTAGTATCTCTCACATAAATCTCTCCATGTCTTTTAATTTTTTTTAAAAATAAACTTTTATTTATTGTTAAATTTTATTAATAATAATAATAATAATATTATAAACAATAAATTTAATTGCTATATTTTTCAGATTATTTATTATGAAATAAATATTCAACTGTAAGAACATTTGGCCCTTTAATGTAATGTAAAAATTTAATGAATTTTAATGAATACTTAACAATAATGATAATAATAATATACTGTATCATAATCATAATAATAAGCATAAATAATTATAATCATAAACAAAAATTTCCTATTTTTAGATATAAATTTATAAATTATTATTTACAGTTATTACACCACTCAGTAATAATTAAAAAATTATTGGCCGAAAAATTATTATTATTATTAAGAATAATTTTAATAATACTAATAATAATAAAAATGAAATAATGATAAATAATAATAATAATAAATTATTAGTAATAAAATATCATTAATAAAATGTTGTGTTATCATCAAATTGTGCGACACTTATGATTAAAAATTTTTTAATATTATTATTAATGTTAATAAAAAGATTATCACTTAAATTATAATTATTATCATTATTACTATCATATATCTATAGATCACAACATTTAACTAATGATATTCTAAAAAAAAAATTAAAAATTATTTATTTTTTTGTTGGTTTGTCAATAATAGAGTAATCAGGGTTTGAATAGAGAGAGAGAGAGAGAGAGAGAGAGAGAGAGAGAGAGAGAGAGAGAGAGAGAGAGAGAGAGAGAGAGAGAAATCCTAATGAATATTTAATTAGTTATTTTGCTAAAAATAAACAAACAAAAAATTATTTCAACATTTCTTTTTTATTTTCTCCTATTATTATTCACAATATAAGTGTTAGTTTTACAGATTATATTACTAAACATTATCGACACAATCAATAGTAAATATCAAATACACAAATTTGCATGATTTAGTTGTTTTGTATTAAATATTTATTTTTTTTAATAAAAAACAATATATAAATTAATTAGTATAAACTTTTTTTTTTTCAATGACTGATTTTTTTAATAATATTTATTTTGTAATACAAAATGAAAACAGTAATACTATAACAACTATTAATAATAATATTTTTAAAAACTTATTTAAATTACTTTATCTATTTATTTATAAAAAAAACTTCACAATCCTATTATCATTCATTAATTATCTCAAACATATACATATATATAACAATTTACTCATATATTAACTATTATTAATATTAAATTACTAAATTAGATCAAGTTTTGAGCAATAACTGCATTATTATTAATTTATATCATTTTTCAGATATACGTATTTATAAATTATATAAATTTTTTATTTCATATAACAATATATTGTAAAAAAACACAATCACTTAATCCAATCAGTTTCCTAAACATATTAACAGCGATTACTAAATATATATATATATATATATATATATTTAATATCATAAGAGATATATTTTCGAGAGAGAGAGAGAGAGAGAGAGAGAGASAGAGAGTCAATTATGTGAGACATCATTTCAATTCACAATAGTTTTTGTTATTTTTTTCAGTTTAATGATCAATAAAATCAACGATAATCGACATTAACAACAACAAAAAATCAAACCAAAAAACAATAGGAGTCTAACAGAGAGAGAGAGATTGAGAGAGAGAGAGAGAGAGAGAGAGAGGGGATAATAGGTTGGCGCGCGCTATGCAAACACACCACACATTAATTGTCAATTTTGTTTGTTTTTTTAAAATTTCTCAATTTGTGGATAACCAACAACACCAACAACGACAACAACACCAACAATATATATCATTTAATGGACACACACTTTAGTTGTCAATTTGATGTCGAGATTTTTTTTTTTTTGTTGATCCCCTCTTTCTTTAAACGTATTGTCAGTCTTTTACGTATTTATTTTCGACGAGTCCGATCTCTTGAGTGGAACGGTAGGTACAGTTAAAATGGATGGCATCGGAATGGGGTCCCTCCAGACACTGCAGATGAAGACAACAGCAGAAAATGTTTCTCAAAGTTTCTTTGAATGCTTCGCGAAATTCTCTATTAAAGTAGGCATAGATAACGGGATTCATGGCTGAATTCAAATACCCGATCCAAAACATAATGTCGACAACGATTTTCATTTGCAATACTGGACACGACTGGCCGCAAATGGTGCTGACGACGTACCAAATGAAAAACGGTAGCCAACACAGTATAAACATTCCCATAATGATGCCCAACGTTTTGGCCGCTTTGTGCTCCCGTTTCATTTTGTTAATTGTGCGTTTGGTCGGTGTCGATGATCCCGATTCCGGGTTATTGCCGCCGCCAGCACCGGCACCGGCACCAGTCGCATTGCCGACACCGTGCTGGGCACTGGCGTCTGTTGAGTTGCGCGGCTGATGATTATAGTGGTTGGCGTTGGTGTTGACCGCCATTTGCTGCGTTTTGTAGATAAAATTTTCCTGTTTGATGGCCTCCTTATAGATCTGATAGTAGGCGGCCAGCATGAAACCGCACGGCAGCCAAAACGATACGGTACTGCTGACCAGTGCGTACGGTATGTTCACTTCCCATATACATTCGTCCGGATTGTCTAATCGGTTCTGCATATAGGCTTCGGTAGTGTAGAGTCCGGTAAATATCGGTATATAGGATATGAATGCCGACGATATCCAAACAAATGTAATCATAATCATTACCCGTCGGGTAGTTATCTTCATCGGATAGTCCAACGGTTTGATTATGGCATAGTAGCGGTCGTATGATATACAGGACAAGTGCATTATGGAGGCGGTACTGAACAGGACGTCGCACGAGTTCCAGAAGTCACAGATAATATTGTTGAACAGCCATCGGCCCGATATGGCTACCGATGCATTGAAAGTCATGGCAAACAGTGCTACCAGTATGTCGGCACAGGCTAACGACACTATAAAATAGTTGGTCGTTATGCGCAGCTTATGGTGCCGGCAGACGGCAATGATGACCAGCAAATTGCCGAAAATGGCCGCAATAATTATCGACGACAGTAGTATCACTTTTATCACTATAACTAGAATGTCGATCCAGTCGTAGCCCTCTGGGCTAATGGTACTGTGAGCACCGTTAGTTATGGCATCGGTATAGTTAATGAGTAACATCGACGACCTGGTGCTGACAGTCCTATAGATGTCTGAATCACTGTCGAGCACGTCGGCCGGTGCCGACGGCGTCGAGTTGACAATGTTTAACAGTATGCTATCGAATTGGGTCGGCATTGTTATGGACTGTGCTGAAGGTAGGGGTACTGATGGTGATAGTGGTGGTGGTGATGGTGGTGCCAATGAGGATGTGCTGCTGCTGCTGGTGGTTATGGTGCTGGTAGTGGTGGTTAATATTATGGAAAGACGTTTTAGTGTTGTTGTTGCTGATGATGGCGAGGTGTGGCTGTTATTGTTGAACGGATCCGACAATAATAACTGATCAAWGGATGACCTGTCAGTTGTTGTTGTTGTTGTTGTTGTGCCGGTGCTGAACAGGACACTCATAATTGTCTATTGACAACATATCTATTTGGGATAATAATAATAAAATTAAAAATTTATTAATTTAATTATAATTGATTTTTTATTTATTTTTATTTTGAATAATATTTAATTAGACAAAAAAAATGATTTAATTATTTGTAATGATTTTTAATTAAATATTTAACTTTTAAAAGTTGTTTTTTTAATCTAGTAGTCTTTATTTTCAAACAAATATGTTTTTATTTGTATCTAAGTTTAATTTTTTTCTAATAAATATGATTTATTTTTATATTTATTACAAATTAATATTGCAATCGATATTTCTATTTTAAATAATTTCTATTTAAAATAATTTTAATATTGATAGTTATAAATACGGTAGTTATATCGTACAACCGTATATTTATTAATAACTTATCAATAATTTATTCAATTTAATAGTAAAAACTATTTTAATATATATATATATATAATGATTAAAATTAGACATTAACTAATTAATAATTTAGATCAATAATAATACTTATAATTATATTAATTACTATTAGTATTAATAAATATACCATTTATAAATATATATATATATATATGTATATATATAAATTTATATATATATATAATTAAAAATCTATGTAAATGTACTAATAAAATTGTAGTTTTATTAATGAAATAATTGCAATAGCGCACAATTATAAATTATATACAATATTAATTAATTATTTAAATACTCCATGACATTAACTTGTTATAAATCACTAGATATATATAAATATATATATAAATGCCAAACATTTAAATTGGAAATAAACTAATTAATGACAAATAAAAATAATAGGTATTTAGTATAATCTGATATAATATTAATGACTTTCGATTTGATAGGTATTAGCGATTGAGAGTTACATTTAAAAATAGATATAAACTTATAARTTTTATAAATAAATAATATGATAATATACAAATCTATATATGTATAGTATTTGAAATGTATATGAGAAAACTATATTTGGTATTTATTAAAAATATAAACTAAAAATATTTAATCATTTATTTTATCAAAAAATCCTAAATTCCGATCACAAAGCAGAGAGAGAGAGAGAGAGAGAGAGAGAGAGAGAGAGAGAGAGAGAGAGAGAGAGAGAGAGARAATAGGAATTCATTTAATAAATAAAATAATAAATAATACAAAATGAAAATAATAATAATAATCGTATAATAAAAAGTGAAATGAATAGAAATATTTTTTTTAAGAGACAGGAAATGGCATATATAGACAGTTTATGGTGTTTTGTTTGTGTCTTGTATTAAATAAAATATTATATATATATATATATATATATATATGTATATATACATTATATAAATTTATTTATTTTTTAATAGGGTTATGGGCGTTATTCACTATCTGTGTGCTCATAATGTGTGATAAAATGAGCACGGTTAGATAGATAGATAGATTGATAGATAAATAAGCGCACAGTTAGATGAATGGATGTCTAGGCATCTGATAGTGTTTTAATGATTGAGAGAAAGAGAGAGAGAGAGAGAGAGAGAGAGAGAGAGAGAGARAGAGAGAGAAAGATCGCACAAAAAACACAATCATAGTAATAACTTTAATGGGTTTCGACAAGTAATACAAAATTAATGAACAATTATAGCTATTGTTAAAAAGTAAAGCCATGGTTTTATCAATCATTAGCTATACTACACACACACACACACACACACACACACACACACACACACACACACAACACACTACATACACACAATATATATATATATATATATATATATAGTGCCATTAGTTCAAAACAATCTCACTGACCATATAATGAGCTATATATGCAATACATAGAAAATATTCTATAATAATAATATATAATACATAAATGAATTTATATATATATATATATATAATAGTATGCTAAGGATATTATGGCAATTAAATTATGGCTAATTATGAATGCATTGATTTTGTCAGCAAACTTTACGTTAGACTGACTACACTATTATATATTTTTTGATAATAATAATACCGTACCTTTTATATAATATTCTATCACATAGTATATACCGGTATATATATAAGTATATATATATATATATAAATATAAATATATATATATATGTGTGTGTGATTTTGTACTTTACTGTATAGTACAATGGCTACATACCAGCACTGGTATCGATCGGCAGCACCGACATTATAGTAGAGCACATAAACACAAATATATTGTGTGTTCAAATGCATTGTACTAAAAGCTATAGCAAAAATGTACAGAATATTCTTTACATATAACACATATATATATATTTCGTATATAAAGAATATTCTCTCTATCGATATATATATATATGAAAATATATGGTATAATAAAAATAATAAATAATAAAAATGGAAAGATTGCTATCTATTCTGACAATTCGATTCTCTATTATTTATGATTGTGTCCTATATATTATGTACAGTATATGATAGATGTATAGTATACAGGAATATGTACGGTATTTTCTATATCCCTGAGCTCCATATATATATATATATAAAGTATATATTTATATAAATATGTAACAGTCCTCTACTGTAGGATAATATTATATTTTATTTGTAAAATTGTGTCTAGTTGTCCATCATAAATATATGATTGTATGTATGTAATGTATGAATATATTAAGTAACTAACTTATTAGATCAAAACATTGTCTATACAATGGTATACTTAATATTTTTATAAATAAATAATTTACATTTAATATATATATATATATATATTTACTATTATATACTGTATCTTATCTACTAAATTATTGATATCTAGATTTTTTTATTTCATCTAAACATATAGATATATGCATATAAATTGTTTATTTATTGATAAATTGTGCAATATAAATGATAGATTAGATATATATATTTTGTATATAATAAAGTATTATTCAAGACTATTATAAGATTAAAAATAAATAAATATATTAATATGTAATTATATATAATAATAATACTGTATACTGTATAGTTGACATAAATGTATAATACTATTTGTAGCAATATATCAATACATGAAAAAATAATTTTTCAATTTCATATATTCTAAGTCTAAACACACACACAATAATAATAAATAATACATCAATAGTTGTGATCAAAAAAAACATATAATTTTGATTTAAATTTTTAATATTTAGTTGAGTGTATGAATTGCACGAAAAAAATTATTATAAAAATAATGTCTACAATGTAGAATAAATATATAAAAATAAAAATAAAAATCGATACACTATATTAACATAATTAAAATAATAAAATATTATATAAATTTAGCTACTAATCAATATCTTAGTTATTATATATTTAAAATAATTGTAGACTTATAAGTTATAATCTGTACAAAATAAATACAGTAATATATTGTATATATATATGTAAATAATTTTAATAAAAAAATAAGCTAAAAATTTTTATTTCTATCATTACATTAATATGCAACCTAAATATGATAACCTTAATTTTATACAAAAATTATATTTTTTCAACTTAGTTTATAAATAAAATATAATTTTATTTAAAAATAAATTTTGAATACACTACTGAAAATTGTTTTGACATAACATTTTTTTAACAAATTAATATAAATTACGTACAAAATGCAAAAATAGTTGTTTGTGTCAAATATTATAATAAATAATATTCTGTAAATTTTAAACACATTTTTAAAATATATAATTATTTATTTTTTTGATATAATTAAGTAAATATCGCATAAATTTTATATGTCAAGGAATAGCACAAAATTCTTGCGTTTTATTTATATACAGAATATAATGTATTTTTATATAAATATATTAAATAAAAAAAATAATGTTTAATTGGCAATTATAGACCATGTTTTTTATTATTGCTCATATGCATTGAATTATAATAAATATTATTGTATTTACTCTATATATATATAATCTTTATCTATAAATATCTAAAAACTATAGCCCTCCCATGTTGTTATCATACTGTTTTATAAGTATATAATAAATAAATCTAATATCTATTGTATTTATAATATATTGATGAATGCAAACAAACGTAAACCAATATACTTTATAACTATATATTTATATTTATTTATATCATATATGATATATAATATTATATAATGTAAATATATATATATCTACATTAAGTACAAAGTTAGACATAATGCAAACACACATAATATAATAGAAAAAATAAAATAAAAAACTAGTAATAATGAACAAAAACAACTAAAGCTTTTTACTATGATTTTGTTATTTTTTTCAAATGATATTATTATTATATATATATTATATTTGCCTTAAAGTTAAGTATAAACCCAAACGATTATTTTGTGTGTGTGTGTGTGTGTGTGTGTGTGTGTGTGTGTGTGTGCTTATCGATAAAAAAAAGTATAGCGAAAAAATAAATATATTGTATTTAATAGTTAGTAAGTTAGGTYATAATACAAAAAAGCAGTAAAAAAATATTATTGAATTTATTGATCGACCGGCAAAAATCATTCAACATTATTGTTGTTGTTGTTGTTAATGTTGCTGTTGTTGGTGTAGTTGAATATGTTATCAATTTCAGTAACCAAACAATATATATATATACAATATATGTATGTAGTAGATGTAAATAATGTATAAATATCATATATATATATATTGCTGACACACACACACAACTTTTATACAGTATAACTAAATTTATAATCAATATATATATATATATATATATATATGATATATAATTTATATATAGTAAGGTCACATAATTTTTATTTTTATTTGGATGGGATATCATACTAACAAATTATGTAAATGTATATGTAGTATCATAAAAAAAATTTGGCACTGAATCTACACTATATGAATACTGTATGTAACATATACTGTATATACAACAACGAAAAATGTATCCCTCATAAACTAGATAGATATTAATAGTATATACATGTATTGTACATAACTAACCGTTAGTATTGCTAGTATAAACTGTATGTTATATATATATATATATATATATA